GTGAAAAATGTTAGAGCTGTAAATTGTAATGGCTGAGCATTTTTGGTTTGTGTGAGCTAGTTATAGCACTGCATGAGAAAGCATCAGGATGCTAGTAGAAAATATATTATACATTAAGGCAAGATGCTACAGGCTAAACATTTTTCCTTTAAAATTTTGGGTTATTTGGCTTTTCATAATGTGTTCAGACTAGTGGAAAGAAACCTACACTTTTAAGTGTTTATTTTATCGTACTTTATTTGCATCTGTAGATTTGAATTAAAATATATATCTTTAAAGGCAGTTTTCTCAGAATTAGAACTTAACACTTTACAGTTTTATTCCTATTCAGGGATTCTACAGAGGGGTTTTGTCATATACTATTCATCTGATTTTATACGTGTAGTTATTCCTAAAATATTGTGATTTTTTTTTTCTTTCTGGCTGCTAACAGTATTTTCCTGATTTACCTGATTTTATCCAATGTTCAGATTTCTGTTCAGGAAATGTATGTAAATAAGTGCCTATTTAATTAGATAATTTGATTATTTAAATATGAAATTTCAGAAAAGTGTAATACAGGTTGATGGTTTTTTTTTTGCAATTCTTAATGTAATCAATCAATGTGTATTCGTTGTTTTCCTATTCATCTGGGGTGTCTTGCCTTAAATCTTCAAGCAAAAATGTTTATGAACATGATAAACTGAAGTACATCATTAATAAAGTAGAATTTACATAGTAATTGGAATCATCAGAAAGGTTCGAAACTGAACTGCATTTTGGCTGCACGAAGGGTCACTTGATTTCAAATGTCTAATGTTTTCTGTCCTCTTTGCAGATACAACAGAATAGCGCGGGAATGGACTCAGAAATATGCCATGTGATGTTGGCTGGACACATTTAGACACTGTTTGTTCTCTCATGTTTTGGACACTGTTGCAAGACCATATCTCTCCATCTGTCTCTTATGGAGGCACAATCCCATTAAATTTCTGCTCAAATAGGAATGCAGGCCTGCTCCTGGCCTTTCCACACTACAAAGTCTTGAAATGGACCTCGCCAGTCTGACGGAAGTTCCTCCACTCTCAGCTCTGCCTGTCTTTGATCTTTACCAATCAACTCCTTTCACTCCACAACACGACATGCCTGTATGACCAGAGTGTGTTTTCTCTGAGCCGCTCGGAGAGAGAATGTCTTTAGGTTGTTCTGCTTTTTTGGGGCCTTACTCCTGGAATGCATGCAAACGCAGGAGAAAAGGTCAGATGTTGTACATCAGTGGGAGATTGGGACTGATTCCTATATCCTGTTTGTAAAGATTTGCAAAATTCTCATCGGCACTTGGCCCAACTTTTCACATCCGTGACACTGAGATACAACTTAATCGATTGGCTTAAATATTTAAAGTCCCGCTACTTTTTCCTTTCAATAAAGATGTATAACTCATACAGTGTGTTTGTTTTTTCTATTTGAATTTAACTGTCTGTATTCAAATTAACATATGTGAAAAAACAGTCTATATTGAATATGGAAAGTGATGTTATGGTTTATCACTTGAAATTACCATTTAAGTCGATCATGAATCATTTAGAATTAATCATCTGATTATTAGTGTACTCCATAAGGTTTGGTAAGGACAAATTAATATTTATCTTGAGAATTTAGTATTGTAAGATACAAACAGTTGCGATTCCTTTAATAATTTAGCAAGTGATGAGAATTCAGACATAAAATGTTTTCTAATTACACATGGTCTTGAATTAAATTTTAAACCTTGTGATGTTATTGAATGAATTTTTTTAACAAATCTTGTGAATAATTTCTGTTCACTTTCACTGACAGACTCATATTTCTCGTTTTAAAGGAATAGTTAACCCAAAAATGGGTTATCATTTACTCACCCTCATGTCGTTCCAAACCTATTTCTTTCTTATGTTAAACAAAAAAGATAGTGATTATTTTGAAGAACCAAACAGTTGTTGGTCCCCATTGACTTCCACAGTATTTCACAGGAAAGAAATACTATAGACGTAAATGGGGACCATCAACTGTTTGATAACCAGCATTCTTCAAAATCTCTTCTTTTGTGTTCAACATAAGAAAGCAACTGATACAGGTTTGGGACGACATGAGGGTGAGTAAATGATGACCAAATTTTCATTTTTGGGCGAATTAACGATATCCCTTTAAAGCGCGTGAATGCTTTCCTGCGTTCAAATAAATGAAAATCCACTTATAGTATAGAAATAACTGAACAAATCAGTGAATTAATGTTTTAGCGAGTAATTCAAAAGATTCTAGTTGCGAGGATTAGGTAGCAGTGCAGGCATAATAAAAGCCCTTCTAAAATAATTTCACTTCTCGAATAGCTAACGTTAGCTGTTTTCGCTACTACATTTAATTTTCAAGCATTGTTAAAATTCTGTGTTTAAAATCCTAACATTATTTTTGAAGAATTTTTGACAACCGCATACCCTTAACGCCACCGGATGTCTTTGCTTCCACGTGAGAGAGCAGCTGATCACTTGTGCTTTTGATTTGAACCGGGAAGTGCAGCACAAAACATTAGGGCGGTGTGTGTTTATGGCTTCACGTCCCGTGATTCAACTATATAATACAGAAATGACTTTGGTAGTATCAAGTCTGCCATGATCAATAAACATGAATCGTGTGGTATGGTCTTTTGCATGCTTTTACCTTTTAGAGGTCCCTTTTCTTGACGGCGCACTCGCGTCTGAGGTGAAGAGACCCGGTCTGGGAGTTGATGTTATCTCTCTGAACGGGAAATGGCAGCTGATGAACTCAAACTCATCTGTTTCTCTCAGTGCGGAGGTACCAGGCTGTGTTCATACTGCTCTGCAGCGTCAGGGATTCATTTCGGTACAAACACATTTTCTGAAGTCAGTATTAACAGTCCAAACACTGACATTAGTGTTCCTAAAAACTTTATTCTGTGTCAACAGGATCCATATTATAGGTTTAATGACCTGGCCTACAGATGGATTTCACTTGACAGCTGGAAAGCCCTTCTAAAATAATTTCACTTCTTGAATAGCTAACGTTAGCTGTTTTCGCTACTACATTTAATTTTCAAGCATTGTTAAAATTCTGTGTTTAAAATCCTAACATTATTTTTGAATAATTTTTGACAACCGCATACCCTTAACGCCACCGGATGTCTTTGCTTCCACGTGAGAGAGCAGCTGATCGCTTGTGCTTTTGATTTGAACCGGGAAGTGCAGCACAAAACATTAGGGCGGTGTGTGTTTATGGCTTCACGTCCCGTGATTCAACTATATAATACAGAAATGACTTTGGTAGTATCAAGTTTGCCATGATCAATAAACATGAATCGTGTGGTATGGTCTTTTGCATGCTTTTACCTTTTAGAGGTCCCTTTTCTTGACGGCGCACTCGCGTCTGAGGTGAAGAGACCCGGTCTGGGAGTTGATGTTATCTCTCTGAACGGGAAATGGCAGCTGATGAACTCAAACTCATCTGTTTCTCTCAGTGCGGAGGTACCAGGCTGTGTTCATACTGCTCTGCAGCGTCAGGGATTCATTTCGGTACAAACACATTTTCTGAAGTCAGTATTAACAGTCCAAACACTGACATTAGTGTTCCTAAAAACTTTATTCTGTGTCAACAGGATCCATATTATAGGTTTAATGACCTGGCCTACAGATGGATTTCACTTGACAGCTGGACTTACACTACATTATTCTCAGTACCTACTCATGTTAGGTGAGTCAGTCCAACTAAACCTACCCTCTGATTTGTACCGTACATCTAGAGCTAGAGTGTCAAGGATATGATTTATGATATGATGGCAGTAGTGTGACAGTACCACAGAATGAATACAATGTGCTCTTTACAGAGGAAAAGGAAAAGCCGTCCTAGTGTTTGAAGGAGTGGACACAGTCTCTACAATTTCTCTGAATGGAGTCACCATCGGAAAGACAGACAACATGTTCCGCAGATATGTAAATGAATAACTGTTTCATATACAAGTACAAGTTCTATTGAATTGTGCTTTATATGTATGTTGACAGACTCTAGCATAATAATAAAAACAATGGTTGTCCTTAAAAAGCACTTTTTTTTAATGAAATCATAATATTTTTTATTCTTGAGGATTTTGAAGTCACTGGATTGCTGAAGGATGAAGAGAATGTTCTCCAGGTGTGGATTATGTCAGCTGTGACATATGCATCTCAGAGGAGTCATGCCCACACTGAATACAGGGTACCGCCTGATTGTCCTCCTCCTGTACAGAAAGGAGAGTGTCATGTTAACTTTATCCGAAAGGTACAAACATTGTAACACTCACAAACCCAAAATGTTTATTAGAGTATATGGCGATATACCTCTTTTTTTGTTTTTTGTTGAAGTACTGAGGTTAAATAAATATGTATCCAATATGTATTTAATATACTAAAAAACTTTATTGTTATTGATTTCCTAATTGAGTTTTTGGTCTCTTGGCGTTTTCAGGCTCAAAGCTCATTTAGCTGGGACTGGGGTCCATCTTTCCCCACTCTGGGCATCTGGAAGGGAGTTCGTCTGGAAGTCTTCAACTCTTCAAGGGTTCTCAGTTATACCACAAGTCCAAAATATGGTACACAGGCATATTTGCATATGAAGGAGAAGGGGTTTTAGACATAAATAGCAAAACAAATCAACATAATATGCAAAACCCTCTTTCTTCTGTATTCTTGTTCATGTTTTTCTGTCTTTCTCTGTATGCAGACTCTGAACATTCAAGCTGGAATGTTGAAGTGGAATTGTTCTTTGACGTTTTTGTTGCGTCTAAGGGTCTTGTCCATCTGTCCATACCATTACTGCAGTCAGAGGCAGAGTTTCAACTGTCTCTTACACCTGGGCAGAGTAAAAAGTCCTTTGTCTTACAGCTCAATCAGGTGAGATCAGGTCTAGTTTGCTTCATTATGACCACTCCGTGTCATTTTAACATACATTGCAGAGGAAATATCACATTTATCACTGTTATTTTAGTACCATTGAGATGTTGGGGATACTATTATAGTTTTTAATTAATATTTAAAATGAGTTTTATTTTTATATTTTCTGTTTTCATTTTTAGTTTTTATTATAGTTGAATTAGTAATTTTGTTGTGTTTTGGACATTTATATATATATATATATTTAAAAATATGTCTTATAGAATTTTTATTCATTTTTATTTCAGTTTTAGTTATTTTAATCAAGTTTTTAAAAAATATTTTATTTCATTTAATGTTTATTTTATTTCAAATAATGAAAATATTTTTATGATTTTAGTTTTAGTTAACAATAATAACCTTGATATATATGATGATAACAAATGTGTTCACTTTAAGAGTGTCAGTTTGTGGTGGCCGTTTGGACATGGAGAGCAGTTTCTATATTACCTGACTATAGATGTCAACTTGGAGGGTGGAGAGACATTTAATGCAGACCGAATGGTAATGTCTCTCTCTGTTTATTTTATTTATTTATTTATTTTTCCTCAATCAGCATCGTTTCATTCTTGTGTTGTGGTTTTCCGTTTTAGGTTGCTTTCCGCACAGTGGAGTTGGTCCAGGAGCCTATACCCTCCTCCCCTGGCCTCAGCTTCTACTTCCGGATCAATGGGAAACCAATTTTCCTGAAGGGGTCCAACTGGATTCCTGTTCATGCCTTTCAGGACCAGGTGACCACTGACATGTGAGTAGATTTACAGCCTAAAACAGCCTAGTTCAATGGCCAGACTGAATTCTGTTTAATGTGAAATCACTTTGAAGCTTTAGTCATCTTGTTATGTTTCTGCATTGGCATTGCAGGATCACAATCCTGCTCCGGTCTGCACAGAAGGCCAATATGAATACTTTAAGAGTGTGGGGTGGTGGAGTGTATGAGCAAGATATCTTCTACAGCCTGTGTGATATGTATGGAATCATGGTAAGCTTATTATAAGACATGTTCCACCTGTGACATGCTTTAAATGAAAACTGATTTGATTATTCGTTTGCTCTTATGTCAGATTTGGCAGGACTTCATGTTTGCCTGTGCATTGTACCCTACAGAAAAGGATTTTATACAGACAGTGAGGGAAGAGGTCACTCAGCAGGTTTGCATACATTGTACTCTCATATGTTATGTTCACCTCAAATAAATGACAAATAATAATGTTAATAACATATTAGAGTGTTAAGAAACGTTTAATGGAATGATTCTAAAATGTAATGTGGTGAGTGTATATTTGAATAGAACAATTATATATGTTTTTCCATATATTTTGGATACAGTGAGTGTACATTCCTTAATCATTATTTTAAAGCAATAGTTCACCCAAAAATGAAAATTGTCATTTACTCACCCTCATGTCGTTCCAAACCTATATGAGTTTCTTTTTTATGTTAAACACAAAAGAAGATACTTTACATACAAATATCATGTATTATCACTATTAAGAATTGTTGTTAATTGAAATAAAATGGAAACATATATATATATATATATTGAAAATATTTACATGTATATATTATTATTCATGTAATTTATATTATATATAAATAAATTTTATATATAAACATAACATATTTCTCTTAAATATATAGGTGCATGTGTGTGTATTTATATATACATAATAAATATACACAGTACACACACATACTGTATATTATGTAAACAAAAACTTATTTTGGATGCGATTAATCGTAATTAATCGTTTGACAGCACTAATATATATGTGTATATATATAAAATATATATAAATATTAAATGAAAAAAATACAATTAAAACAATTAAATGATAATTAGAAATGTTGTTTGGCAACAAAAAAAATTAATACGTTTTTTTAGTAAGTACTAAAATAGAATTAAAATAAATTAAAGCTCAATAAAAATCTAAAAAACTAAAACTAATAGAAATGACAAAACTCCATAAATTTAATAAAGCTTAAACTAAAATAAAAATAAAAAAAAGAAAGCTAATCAAAAATATTAAGTACTATGATAATATAAATAATACTAATAACACTGCTGCAAGGGTCAAATGTTTTTTTAACTATTATTAAGAGAAGCGGTTTTAATAAGAACTGCACCCCAAAATATTTCAAAATTAATTTTAATTAAAAATTTAGAAGAAGTGTATTCAAGCCATTGTATATGTGAATGGCATTTTTAATGTATCTTTACATAAATTACATGTCTAGGAGAAAGAAAATGAGCATTATTGACCCACCGGTTATTATTTACAATTATATGGACATTTTTTTCAGGTCCGACGGTTGAAATCTCACCCCTCTGTGGTCATCTGGAGTGGGAACAATGAGAATGAAGCTGCCATAGCAACTGACTGGTTCAACATATCTGTTGCTGCGCGACCACTGTACGTGAAAGACTATGTCAATCTATATGTTGAGAACATCAGAGACATCGTTCTGCAGGTGAGACTGAGATACACACACAATAACATTAAAGTACCATCTTAAGCCTTTACCAAATGATGCTGTGCTTTAATTCAGGAGGACAGCACCCGTCCTTTTCTAGTGTCCAGCCCAACCAATGGGGTTGAGTCTGAGAAGGAAGGCTGGGTGGCTAAAGACCCCTATGACCCCCACTATGGAGACACCCACTACTATAGCTATTACAAGGATTGCTGGGACTGGACTGCTTTCCCTCGCACACGCTTTGCTTCTGAGTATGGCTTCCAGTCCTGGCCTTCATTGTCCACACTTAGTAAGGTACTAGACTTAATACAAATCTGTCTGCTTTTTCAGATCTGACAGTCACAGTGTGGAACACCTAATACTAGTTTATGTTCTGATCCCAATGAAACCGTACTCTTTTTAGGTACACATAAATGGCCTTTTATTTCATTAATATTTCATTATTTGCAAGCATTTTTTTATAAAAATATAATATAGATTTGAAGCATGCTTCTTTTTCAAAGGCGAATGTAACATCATCAAACACTCTTATTTTTCCAACTTCAACCAGGTTTCAGTGTCTTCAGACTGGGATTTTAGCAGCAATTTCTCAGCTCATCGGCAGCATCATGAAGATGGCAATCAGCAGATGCTAAAGCAAGCAGAACTTCATTATATTCTCCCTAACAGCACAGACCCGGTGCAGAAATATAGAGACACTATTTACATCACTCAGGTGAACACATTACCTTTAAGCTGTAACATCACAGAAAGAAATTACATTTTAAAATAGATAAGTTATTTTAAATGGTAATAATATTTCACAATATTGCTGTTTTTACTGTATTTTTGTTCAAATAAATGCAGCCTTTGTGAGCATAAGAGATTAAAAAAAACTTGCCAACCCCAAACTTTTGAGCAGTAGTGTATATCTCAAATATTTTCCAGGACATTGGTAATGTGCCCAATATGACACACTTTGGTTTGAACAGGTGATGCAGGCACAGTGTGTGAAGATCCAAACAGAATTCTACCGCTGCAGCCGCAGTGACATCGTTGAGGGCAAAGGTCATACGATGGGCACCCTTTACTGGCAGCTCAATGACATTTGGCAGGGGCCCTCCTGGTCCTCTGTTGGTAAATGATTCATGCTCATGGCTACCGTTTTTCATTTTTTTTTAATTGAATTTGTCATTTATATGTGCACATGAGCATGCAAAGTCAAAGTATGCATAAAAGTATGTTGACTGGGAAATCTCTTGTACATTCAGAGTTTGGTGGTAAATGGAAAATGCTACACTACTGGGCTACAGATTTTTATGCTCCTATACTCTCAGCGGGGGTTGAGGATAAAGGAGACCTGCTGATCTATGGTGTCTCTGACAGCCACTCTGAGAAGCACAATGTCAAAGCTAAGGTAAGATGGTAGTGCTTTGTAACATTGACTGTTGTTTTTTTGGTTATTATATAATGATCAGAGAATGTTAAAATCGTTTGACATTTTCATTTAGAATATTAATGCAAATTTTAAGAGAGTGAATTAAAGAAATAATTTTCCCAAAAATGAAGATTTGCTGAAAATGTATTTATCCTCAGTTCATCCAGGATGTAGTTGAGTTTGTATCTTCATCAGATTTGGAGAAATGTAGCATTACATCACTTGCTGACTAGTGGATCCTCTGCAGTGAATGGGCGCCGTCAGAAAGAGAGTCCAAACAGCTGATAAAAACATCACAATAATCCACTCCAGTCAATCAATTAACATCTTGTGAAGTGAAAAGCTGCTTGTTTTTAATAAACCCATCATTAAGGTGTTTTTAAACCGTTGCTTCCAGCTTAAATACGCTTAAATAGGAGTACTCTTTCCATAATATTGCTTTCTTCAGTGAAAAAGTTGTCTTGTCTGAATCAGGAGAGGAATATGCACAAATCATGCACTGTTTACAATCAGCAGTCCAAAACAGTTCTAAACAAATATGTCTGACTTTGATGTGAGAGGACAGCAGTGAATGAATGGCCTTTTTCACTGCACAAAGTGTCATTATGGATTATGGACTTGTATTTTGGCCAGAAGCGGTGCTTTAAAGTTAAAGTGCCCTAATGATGGATTTATTACAAACACACAACTTTTCAATTCACAAGATGTTAATTGAGGGACTGAAGTTTTATCAGCTGTTTGGACTCTCGTTTTGACGGCACCCATTCACTGCAGAGGATCCTGTGGTGAGCAAGTGATGTAATGCTACATTTCTCCCAATCTGCTCAGATGAATAAACAAACTCCTCTACATCTTTGATGGCCTGAGAGTGAGTATATTTTCAGCTAATTTCAATTTTTGGGCAAACTATTTATTTAATTAATGTCTCTAAATTAGACAAAAACAGCATGTTCCTAATTCTTTGTTTTGGACAGACCTCATATAGTACCACAAGACTTTCTGGTGCTATAGCGTAAACGTTTTCATTTTGTGTTTACTTGCATTAGTTTATTTATGAATTTTGACCAGAATTTGTCATATTATACTCATGTTCACAGGTCAAATTACACAGCTGGAGCAGCTTTAACGCCGTCTGTTCTTTAGAGTCCAACGTGACTAAAATAAAAGCAGGAGGAAGCACCCTTGTGTTTCAGCACTCTATATCTGGTCTGCTGATGCAATGTGGGAACTGCACACGGCGCTCATGCATAGTTGCTTTTCATCTCAGTAGTCCGGAAGGTCAATTGATCAGCCCTCACAATCACATCTTCCTCAGCTCTCCACGATATGCAGAGGGTTTGCAGAAACCCAACATCACGGTAGGAACCATACATTCACACACTCACCATTTACAAACACACCCACCCACCTTAGATAATTCACTCATTTACTACATTCCTAAAATGTGTTTGTTCACAAACAGAGATGTTACTGAAAGCAAAGAGCTTGTCTTTAAGAAATTGAATCCCTCAACTGACTGACAGGTTTATTTTATTTGTATATTGCAGTTTACGGTAAAGGACACTGGAATTGTGCAGAACTTTTTCGTGACTCTGCACTGCTCCTTTCCTGCTGTGTATGTTTGGCTGGATGTTGACAATATTCCTGGTCACTTTGATGTCAATGGCTTCCTGATGCTGTCTAAAAAGTCCACAGTTATTTTTGGAGCATGGAGACCCACCACTGCTGAAGAAATCACTGCAAATCTTCATATCACGTCTCTCAGGGATGTCTACTGAATTTATATGCTTGTCAAGTTGTCAACTATACAAAGCAAATTAATAAAAGATTGTGGGACACTGCGTCCTCAGGGCGACCCTGTTAATTATTAGACTACTTTTATTTTATATACATATTAAAATATTATTTGTCTAACCATATAAAAACAAAGTGCATAGTCCATTGTTGTCAAATACAGGTGCATCTCAATAAATTAGAATGTCGTGGAAAAGTTCATTTATTTCAGTAATTCAACTTAAATTGTGAAACTTGTGTATTAAATAAATTCAGTGCACACAGACTGAAGTAGTTTAAGTCTTTGGTTCTTTTAATTGTGATGATTTTGGCTCACATTTACCAAAAACCCACCAATTAACTATCTCAACAAATTAGAATATGGTGACATGCTAATCAACTCAAAACGCCTGCAAAAGTTTCCTGAACCTTCAAAATGGTCTCTCAGTTTGGTTCACCAGGCTACACAATCATGGGGAAGACTGCTGATCTGACAGTTGTCCAGAAGACAATCATTGACACCCTTCACAAGGAGGGTAAGCCTATTTTAATTTTTAGTTAATAATGTGACTATTTTTGAAAAACACAAGTCATGGTTGGTCAGTAATCTTGATAAAAAATTGGCTTGATTAAGAAATGTGTAAATATTGAGATTCTGTTCTTTTCCATGACTGTAACGTTACTCAAGTCAGACCTGAACACGTTGCAAGAATGTCTGGAAAAGCGCAAATGCAGACAAAGGCTTCATTGACACAGGGAGTGATGGCTGGTATAGCAGTGTTTGGGCAGCAGCATGTGCTGTTCTTTGACTCTCCGTCCAGCAGCAGTTTCCTCGCGCGGTCTCTGCTGAGGAATACAGGGCACGTCAGAGGTGCAGTATCACTGATTGCGACTGATTAGTAAAGTCGACAAATAGCTGTTCCTCCCACCTCCGGGAGATTGCAAAATCATTTCTGAAAAGGAAATGAAAGAATTGGGTTTCTCATTTATTAACCTGTGGCTTCTGTTATTAGTTCGAATGTGCGCATGTGGTTTCCATCCGTCTTGACTGTCGACTCGTTCTCGGATAGTTCGGTAAAGTTATTCATATCGAAAGGATAGAGCTATGGAGGAAAGTTTAATTCAAAATGTTTTGCGCTTCTACGGTGAAAGCAGTTCGCTGTCCACGGGAAACCTTGAAAACTTCCTGCGCCTCATTACCAGCCGCCGCGCGCCGTCGGTCGATGCTGACGCTAATCCGCTGCAGAACACCGAGGTAATGCAGATGCGTCCCGTCTCAGACACATCTACCCTTTCGTCTCACTCTTTCTGTTAGGATTTTTCGCATTTTAATATAAAAATGCAAGTGGAAAGTTTATATCTTTGTTTAGGCAAACAACGCTTTATCTATTAGAACAAACGAGCAACACAAGTGAAAATAAATATTTTGGATTAATCGTTCGAGGCTGCATGGCCAGATTTGTTGGAGAGCCTCAGCCGAATATAGATTAGTCTACCTTTTCAATGTGGAATTATTTTGGCTTTGTGGAAGGCCAGTCTTTTCTGCTTGACTAACGGGACGCACCTCTACCTGTTTGGGGAAAATGTATATATTTATAGCAGCATAGCTTAATTTGACTGAATGTTGGGAACCTGTTTTCAGTTACACCTTGAATCATAGGATTATAAGATTTATTTATTTTACTTTAATAACCCCTTTCTTTCTTTCTTTCTGTTTTTTAATAATTTGCAATAATTTGATATTTTGATCTGTAGGCTACCTAACTATTGGCGATCAGCATAGTTTGATGTATCCATGTATTTTTTACTTAATACATGTATAAAACAAAATATATTATCATGTATTCGTGCATTGATGTTCTGTATGTTGTTATTGGTTTGGAAAAATTCTAAATATTTACTTGAAAGCTGCTAAGAAAATATATAGGTAATGGTAAAGAAGATATATATTGGTAATGTTTAACTCTGGCTACATAATTAACTGTTATATGGTTTCTTAAAAAGTTAATATATATATATATATATATATATATAAATATATATATATATATATATATATATATATATATATAT